ATATGAGTCTGAATTATGGCTACAGCTGCACGGACAGTATCATACTGAGAGATGCTTTGGTCATAAGAAAAATTCTTTTCACTCTACAAAACATTATGGTTCATCTGACTGTCTTAAAATTCTGGAGAAATCAGATATAAAAGTTTCTAGTTGTGGGATGGCAATAATAGGAAGTGAGAAAGGGGAATGCTTCTCCCTTTGGGCCAGAGTAAAAACAGACTTGAGAGGGGCATTTCTCAGAGGACAAAAGATACTGCATGTCAAGGGAAAAGGTGAACAGCAGTAGCAGAAAAGCAGTGATCATGGCAAAACCACTTTTTTCTGCGTTTTGTTCTCTGGCAGAGGAAGGAGTGGAGTTATGAATCTCATTCAGAGCTCTGGAGTGGTGAATCCTCCAAGGAACAGCTTATGTGCCTGCATGAAAACAGGCTTTCCTCAATAAAGATGTAGAAAAGAGAAAAAAAGTTCCTTGTTGGCCTGTAAGTGTCAAGAATCAGAGAAGAAAAAAATTTCTAAGCTGAGTTGTTTCAGATAACACAGATTTTTGAGGAGTGGAGGGAGAGCACAAGAAAAGTAAGCTTTCACCAAATTATGGGCTCCTTCATGTGCCATGGAAATGAGAGGACTTCAGGAATTGGTAGGTGAAGCTGCCTGGAGAGGGAGCATATGTGTGGTAGATTTTTCAGATTCCCTGCTAATGCACACTCATCTATTCAAGAACAATGGAAGTGCCCTCATCATATATTTATTTGTTTTGCATTTCAAGCAAAGTATTTTATATTCTCTTGTTTAATAATTTTACTGCAGTCTATGAGGCAGTCAAAACTACTGATAGTGCAAGTAAAACAGAAGGGTTCCTAAAGTAAAATTTATTTGGTTTTCACCCCCTGTGAAATATAACTCTCCACATCCAAAAAATGAAAAACAGTAAGGGATCTGTTCTCCCCTCTCTGCACACATGTAACTCCATTTAGCAGCAGCAAGATTAATACATATCCATTAACTCTTTGAGAACCTGCCTTCTGCTCAATAAGAGCAGCCTAAATCATAGGTAGGATGATGCGTGTATGTCGTTAGGAAGTTGCATTTTTTAGCTTTTTACCCTTAATATAACTGGTGTCTTTTCTTGACTGTTGTCAGAAACTTCCCTATATGGCTGCAGCAACCATGTTGAATTTTCTGTAAAGTAGATGAGGCAACTGTTCTGGTAGGGGAAGAGAGAGGGAAGCTGCAAATATGTTAGACCCATGTGCAACTCCAAATGTTGCTAATAGAGCACAGTAGAAATCTTTGAATCCCTATTAGTAAACTTCTTTTCAGAGATCAAAACAAAACACAGTGGTAGTTGTAAAACTAGTTTAATTCTTCTGAGGAGCTTTAGGCTCCACCAGAAAAAGGTGCAGTAAAAGTTAAAAGTATTATCATTACTGATTTTACACTCTTGAGCCACACACACTTAGAAATAGCAGAAGAGTCTAAAGATGGAATGAAGTCAAAATAAAAATGCAAATGTGCTGCAAACTTATACAATAACTTGACTTTAGATTTTAATATGTAGGTGTGTTCTTCTATTTGACCAGGAAAAAAGAGAGAGTTATAAAATTGTATTAACTTCTTGCTACTAAATTTTGCCTCTGAAAGCAGATAATATTTTTGGCCTGACTCTATGTGTTATTTTCCATTTTCCTCAGCCTCCCACATGCTAATGACTTGTGCATGGAATTCTCTTACCCGATGAATATATGTTCTTTTTAAGCACAGCCTCCACAGAGGTGGAAAATGTGAATGTGAAATGAAGCTTGTCATCCTCAAAGAAGGTTAAAGACCTAGGAGCATGTACAAGTCTGTCCTGAAAGTCAGTTTGTCAAGACAGAATTTATGGAGGTTCAGTTGCCCAGGCATAATTCTGCATTTCTTTCAAGATTAATACTTCTATACCTTCAGGCATGTGATTTGTCAAGGCAGCTTTGTGACCTGGTGGACAATTAGAATTTGCCTTAGTGGACTGAAATGACCCAGAACAAATGCTGTACTTAGTCTCTTTTATTGCTAAAATCAAGAAGGAGATCCATGCTAAGTGACAACAGTTCTTATGCAGGGAGTGAAAAGTAGAAGCATCTGCTCCTTGAACTTCTAAAGTTTTATGAGCCATGAGTTTTGTTTTCTTCTTTGACAATGAACTTGTTAATTTTATTTTTAATGCATAAAGTAATATGAGACATTCTTTTTGTGCTAATAGGCACATGCAATGACAAAAGTTTCATATATCTCAAATGCCATCAGCCAAAATGCCTAATGCAGCAGTCAGTGAAAATTACCCACATAGAAGTACAGGCAGGCACAATGGTGTTCTAGTAGAGCCCATCAGTCCAGGTCAGCAGCAAAGCTATGGACAACCAAACTGGCTCAAAAGCCACCCTTCTGGAAAGCCCTGGCCTAAATAAGATTTTCCTCCCTGTCTTCCACTAGAAGATCATGAATATATTCAGCAAGGGGGTTTTCCAGGTTTTGTAATGTATTTGAGGTAAGTAAATACATCAAAAGCTTAAAATTTTTTTCCTAGGCTTGTATTTTAGGAGGTTGGACTACATGACCTTTAAAGGCCACTTCCAACTGAAGCTATACTATGATTCTATGCTTAAAATTTTTTATTACTATTCAACAGTTTATTTCCTCTGCAGTTTCATGTAGCACTTGTAATTACAACTTGTCCTGAAGAGAATGAACAATAACAATAAAAATGAGAGCCAAAGATCCTCAGAAGACAAGTAGTTTGTGACTTTAGTATATTCAGAATAATCCTCAAGTTCTGCTCTACCTCTTTGGGAAACAGCCAGATTTCTACACTCTACATGTATCTGTGGATGAGGAGGAAAAAATGTAACTTTGTGTGCAAAACAACCATGAGATATAATGTGATTTATGCCCACGGAAACTAGTATCTTATAACAGACACTGTTAAGTGAAGCTTATTGTCAAATATTGGCTCTGGAGCTACTTGCTTGTCTATGTTCCTGTTTATACCATTTTTGTTTACTTGATAATGCAAAGTAATCAGAAAAAAAAGTGGTACTGAATTATGAGTGCTGTCAAGTTTTGTATGAAAAGTATTAAAACTTTAAACAAAACAGACTTTTAAATTCCTGTCCTTCTGGTCCTGCAGTCTTATCTTGTTTTATACTTTGTTTAAAATGCTCCTTCTTTTTTTTTTTTTTTTTTACAATTTGGAGTTGCTTCAGTAACTTCTTTTTTTTTTATTTCTTGCAGATGTTAAAATGCTGAACCCTCTATCCCTCTGGAGCAGTGCACAGCAGCCATGACATCTCCTCTGGTCCTCTGTGGAAGGTACTTTGCAGGCTGCTGCTGAACTGTTATGACATGTCTCTAGCAATCAGAAAGAAAAGCTGGGAAGAGCATGTGACACAGTGGATGGGATTGGCTTCGGAGTCTGTGGAGTATAATACAGCATGTCGTCATGGACTTGTAGCTGATAACTTGCAGACAAGTATGGAAAATGATGAGATTTCAAGCGTGGACCGGAAAGAAAAATGTGCTTCATTTCCAGAGTGCTGCTATAGTGGAGAGCTGACTGGATTCCCTGAAAAGCAGCTGGGAAATGTTTCAAAGGAAGTGGATGAAAATGATAACCATGAGGATGAGAAGCATTTTTTGGAGGCCAGCACAGAAACTCTAGTCCATGTGTCTGATGATGATGATGATGAGGATGATGATGACGATGATGACGATGATGACTATTCAGCAGTCAACCTGGATAGTGTTAATTACCACATCACTGCTGTAGGAAACAAGCCAAAAGATGAAGGGAAGAGCTTAAATGGAGCAGGCTCCTTAACACAGATGGTACCAACAGCAGAGGGTAACAAGGCAGCTGAATCATCTGGAATAACTGAGGATATAAGTGAGGAACCTGGCTGTGACAGCAGCTGAATCATCTGGAATAACTGAGGTTGTAAGTGAGGAACCTGGCTGTGACCCAGTCCTTAAAGAGGAGCTGAAAACAGAAGATATTTGTGGCAATATTGGCCAAAGCCTAAATCTTTGTAATTATGAAAGCTTAAATGAATTAGTAGATGTAGAGAAAGAAAATTGTTTTAATTCTCCAAATGTGAAAGAAATTATGATGCCTGAGAAACAGCTGCTTCATACTGCTGTAATTGCCCAACAGCGCCGGAAATCTGATGCTTTCAAAGACGGGCTTGGAAAGTCTGAGTGCAACGTGGTAGAGAGTGGGATTTCTTCTGAATCATGTTCCAGCAGTGATAGACAGCTCCGTCCAGCAGTGGAATCCAACAACTGCCTTATGCAATTTTCTCCTTGCTCATGCATCCCGGCAGTGGAAAATGGTCTGGATGAAAGTAGTTTTACAGAACCTCAAGTGACCCCTGAAAACAAATGCCTTTCAAATTTCAGTTCAGCAGAAGATATTCATTCTTTAGATGTAAGGAGTCCTTTGACCACACAAGAATATTCAGACAGCCAAGTGAAACTGCGCAAAAGAAAGGTAGGATGCTTATAGACTGCAGAGATTTTTACAAGTGGTTCCCTCAGTTTCTTATGATGGCAATTCTGTGCCTAATTGAAGATAAAACATGATTTTCAGCTTTGTTTCATTAATTCATAAGATTCAAATGTTTCAAGACAAATATGTCTGTACAGCAACTAAATTTCAGGAACTATTTTAAGTTCTGAAAATGGCTGAGCTATGAACTTGGAAGGTACCTTATATTCACTTTATAGATACTATTTTATATATGCTGTTCAAGGCTAAATGAATAAGTATCTTCTATGGGTTTGGTTTTATTTTTGGTTTTTTGCTGCTTTCAGGTATCATAATCTGTTTCCTCTTAGGAAACAAATCATGTCCAGGAGTTTGGAAGCCTTATTGAAAAAAAAGGAACAAAGTACAACAAAACTTTAAAAATGAAAAAAAGGAGCGGAAACATTTTGCAGTAGTCCAGTTTTTAGCTCAGCCCCATGAGCATATGTTCTTGTGAAAACAAGTATTGCTGAGTTTGAATCAATGTTTTGTAATTTTAAAGCAACCAGGGAGTTTCACTGTCTTTGTACAGTAAGGAAGGGTGTCATTACAAAATTTAAATGGACAGATTTCCTGGCAAAAAACTCCCATTGGCTTTAATGGAAGGAAATGTGCTGACTGTGGCACTGTGGAATTCATCTTAAAGTCTGACTTTCCCAGCTATGCTGCTTATTCTAGCTAATAAACAGTTTGTAACTGTTTACTTCTCTCTGCCTTTTTTCATTTGACATCATCCACCTTCTTTGGCCTGTTTTTTGGGTTTGTTTTTTTTTTAAAAAAAATCTGGTTTCTATTAATTGTGTGGGTTTTCTTCTGTCTGCTACAGTGCCTCAGTAACTGTTTCACTAAAGCAAAAATTCACATATCTAAAGTACTGTATGCCAACACAACATCCTGAGTTGCTGACCACTCTTCTTTGTGTAGACCCTTTGGTAAGACTAACACTAGGTTGATATGGTTAGAAGCTGTAAGCAGCTTTTGCAGATGGTTTCAGATGCCCTCCAAGCCAGTCTTCTTTTGGTAGCTCATGCAACCACAGTTAATGCAGTGACTGTTCAACTGATCTTGCAGTACATATGGCTTAGATTTACAATTAGGAAACAGAAACCAGACTAGCAGTACCAGGAATGCTAAACTTATTTATCTGTAGAAAATGGCTCAAGTTTAAAAAAAGAAAATTGACCAAATTAACATCATATTTGAGAACTAATTGACTGTTATAACCATATTCTCAGCTGCTCTACTTTAGCATCTCATTTTCTTTTCTTTTGAGTGTCATTGCTGATTTGAAGTGTACATTTCACATTGTTAGCAAGATGTAGCATGCTATATTTTTTAGTAACTTCGATCATGGTAGTTTCCACATACCTCCTTGTACCTTGTTTTGGTGTCATATACTCATGTTTTAAATGTACACTTATGAGAATAATATTCGAGAATGTCTATATGATTTGTCTTTGTGCCATTAAATATTTTAAAAGACAGAATATAAAAATTCCAGTGAGACTAATCGTGTGAAAAGCTAAGAAATTACATGAGCATAAAAAGGAGCAAAACAAGAGTTGCTTCAAGAAAGGCTGAGTGTTACATGGCTGCAGCAACTGTGAAGCTGTGTGTAATGTAAAAGGGAATGGCATCCATAAATCTGCAAGAGAACTTGTACCACTTTGGTTAAAGAAGTCTACCAGTCACTGTAAAATGTGTGGCAAAAGGGATAAGATATGATCTGCTATTGTTTGTGGTATTATTTATTTCTAAGTTTGTGAGACACTTGTACAAACAACATTCCTGCATATGGGATTTTATCACTTATATCTAACCATGCACTGTTTTACAAAAGCCGTGGTGGTAATAGTGTTCAGTGAAAAATCCTCCTCTGTTTGCAAACTTTCCCTGAAAGCCACTTTTGTAATTTTAAGAAATCATTAGGAAAACAACAGACTTGAAACTGAATCTGTCCATAAAAGCCAAGTATTTGCTTTTCAGTGGCAGGAAGACTTAAGGGATTGTGAATGGTATATAAAACCTTTTCTCTCAAGGTCAACAGTTCAAACTGTGCAGTTAAGGCCTAAAACACACCACTGTCTGATTAATGCTCAGTGTCAATTATAGTTGTACATTAATATGTGCCCATACAGGTAAGAATATGGAAAAAGGCACATGGAGAGATGAATTGATAAAGGTATGTGGGCACCCAAATCTCAAGGTGGCACCTTGGGTGATCACAGAAAGGTGGTGATCTTCAGGCACTTACTACAGTTAAGATCTTAGAACCTTTGTGTGGAGATAGATCATCCTTCTTCTACAGGCACTAAATTCTTCTGAAAATCTGTTCCTCGTTAACATATTTAAACTGCTTTTAATTGTGGCAATAGAGCATGACCTTCCCTCTTATCTTTAGATTGGCTGTCTTCAAACCAAAGCTGAGGTGAGACAGTGTAGATCTGTTATGCTTGCTCTGCAGGCAGATGCAGGATTGAGGGTTTAAGGGCTTAAAGTTTAGCATCTTTGACTAGCACTAGCTCCATTTCAGTAAATTGCTTTAGTCATGATGGATGTACTGACACTGAAGATGTTTTTTGCAAACACATCCAACAGTTGCAGCATTCTTTGCTCCCCCAAGTCACAAGGGTTCAGACAGTCAATACACAGCACCTTCTTTTCCTTTGCTTCCTCAGGAAGACTTCCTAAGGCTCAGAAATAGGAAGGACCTGAATTTAATGGTGAGAAGTTAATTATGCTAGATCTAATTGAAAGATACACAGTAATCATGCTTTCCTGGTTTTGTGTTGACTGATAATCAATTCAGTTTATCCACAACATGAAGTTGATGTCAGAGTAGCAAAAGCATAAATGGATTAATTATATGTGCCTACACCAACTAGACCCTTCTGTATGCTTTTCTGGGTTAAATAAATTTTGGATTTTAAAATAGTCACTTCACTTGAGAATTGTACATTCTGAATTCCCAAAGATTGAGCAAGCTGTAATACTTGGAGTATCACGACAGCTCACATGCATGTTCACATGTATAAGGCAATAGGGTTTTTAGAGAACAATGTCATACAAAACCAGAAGAGTATAGATTCTTAAGAGAATACCAATAAAAGGAGAATATTTAATTATTAGACACTGATTTTAAAATGGAATAAAATGGCCATTATCTTGTAAAGGATCTTTCAATTTTTTTGTATGTGCCCTGTTTTATGCTTTCTCCAAGCTGCTCATCTCACCAAGCTTAGGTAAAGGCAGAAAAATCCCTGCTGGCACATACTGAGTAGGTGCACAAATACAGCAGAACTCTAGCACATTAATTTCAGTTCTTTGCATACACACAAAAAATCTACTTTATTCAGCATCAGCATAAAACATTGGGTTGAGTCAAGTAGTCTCACCACTCACTTCCCAAGCACAGTCACAGCTGTTGTCTTGCAGCCAGTGATTATCAACATTTTGTAAATGCAGTTTTAAAAACAAGGCTAAGACAGCTCTTTTAAATGATGGGTCAATGAAGGAGTAGATATGATTATTGTGAAGCATGAGTCTGAATAATTAGAGTAAAAATCCATGAAGTTTAGAATAAAAATGAAACATCAATGAACTCCATTTACAAAAGAAATTTTGTCTTGTTCCCTCTATTTCATTTTTCTTCCACCCTGTCCCCACTTAGATTTTATTCCGAGACTTGTTCAATATAAATGGGAAGAAAACAACTACAGAATCAACTGTGATTGTTCATTTCTCTCCTGTAGGATAATGTTATATCAGCTATTATTTTTAATAAAATGCAAAGTTGCTTATGACTGTGGGGAAAAAAAAGAAGCAACAAACCCACCGTATATAACAGAAAGTAGCACTGAGCTCAATTAATAGGGGACTATAATATCCCTCATTCAGGGAGAGGTGGAGTTGGAGGATAGAAAATCATTCTGCATGCAAAAAGATAGAATTGCTATCAACAGGCTTCTAAGTAAGGCTCAGGAAGTTGTAGTTAATATTTAAAATGAAAATTCAATCCACAAACTGGCTTATCAAGATAGTACCAAAAGTTTGTGGAGTAGAAAAAATTTGTGAAAGGATAAACAGGTTTTTCACTGAATATACACAAACCTATAAGAAATATATTCTGATTTGATCCAGAGTAAATGCTGGAAATATTTCTCACATGTATTTGAGCTGCTTTGATACAATGTAGTTTAAATATCTGAATGTCAGAAGAAAAAGAATCGAATTAATATACACAAATGAACAATTACTTGTCAAAATTGTTAGTTACCTGATCAATTGTTTTCTTAGTTTCTATAAGGTATACACATTTGCATGCCTTTACACTTGCAGCTAAACAAGTTTACTGAAACTCTGTCATTCATGACAATAATTAAATTTGTTATGTGCTATGTTTTATTTTTCAGATTGTAATGATATAAGAAAAAAAATTGTTGCTCTGAAAACAGCCCTTTTTGGTGTACAAAGTCCTCATCTCTCTTGTATGAGACTTTTGCTTTTACTATTTACTACTTGCAGTTCTTCATGGTGGACTGCTTAGAAGCTCGCCAGGTTCAAACAGTTGATATTATCTCGAAGCCATTCTTGCAAGACCAAAGAAAATAATAGTCAGGGCTATTCCTAATGCTCACTATTATTGCTACTATTTTAATCCAGATTGTGGTCTGCAAAGGGTTCTTCAGGACATAGCTGATGTCAGCATGAGAACAGCTGACAGTGTCTAAAAGTTGGAAATTAATTTAAGAAAAAGATTATCAGAAGGATGGCAGTAAATGACCAAAGAAACCTGGATAGAAGGTTACCTGGGATGACACAGGTCTTCAGAATAGTGCCTTTTCCCCATGGGAAAGCTGTGAGTTTTTAAAACATGGTTTAACATTTCCCATACTGTAGCAATAAAGTCTATTTCATTATTTCATCAATTATATCGATGTGAGAAAACAAAAAGAATTGCTTAC